CAGTGTGGGAGGAGGGAGGGAGCTGGTGCTGGAGTCGACTCTCCTGTGCCTGCTGTTTACTTCCCAGCTGGTGTTAACTCTCTGCTGGCTGGGCCTGTTCCTCCTCTCCTTGGAAACTGGGGGGAACAACCTGCTCTGAGGCACCTCTTGGAAAGTCAGTCAGCCCGTCAGGTGTCAAACCTGGGGCTCTGTGCTGAGAAGGGAGCATGGGGCAGGAGCAGGGCAGGGCACGGGGTCCAGCTGGCAGTGAGGGCCTGTGTGGACCTTGGACCTGAAGCAGCGCCTCATCTTTGTCCCCGCATCCTTGGCACATTCAGGGGCTGAGGGGCAGGCGGGGGTTTGTCGGTGGAGAGGGTGAGAACATTGTCTCTCGTGAATGGGGTGGTTGGGGTGACCAGAAAAGGCTGTTGGGGTGGTTGAGGTGACCAGAAAGGGTTACCCCAGTGGAGCTCTGTGGCACGTGGTGGTGCTGTGCTGGATGCTGAGCCCCACAGCAGTGCCTGCTGTGCCGGGTGCTGACCCCCCCAGCAGTGCTGGCTGGGCTGCATTCCCAGCCCCATGGCAATATTGGCTGTGCTGAATGCTGAGCCCCACAGCAGTGCCTGCTGTGCCGGGTGCTGACCCCCCCAGCAGTGCTGGCTGGGCTGCATTCCCAGCCCCACGGCAATATTGGCTGTGCTGAATGCTGAGCCCCACAGCTGAGGCAAGACCCTGTAGCAGGACTCGGTGTGAACGTGTCCCCCCGCTCAGGGCCGGGGAACGCCTCCGTCTCCTTCTGCCTCCTCCTGCCTGGGCTGAGGACGGCTCTGTCCTGGCCTCACGGGGCAGCAGGCAGGGCCTGGCCTCCACCAGCGCCTCGGAGTGACGGTGCTGCTGACGCGGCGGCAGCGTGGGCTGTGACGCGGGGCTGCGGGGGCTGCAGTGCTGCACCCCACGGCTGGGTCACTGAGCCTGCGCCCCGGGATGCTCTGGTTCGGCAGAGCCTCATCAGTATTCCTGGTGCGTGGTCGAGCCAGCTGGAGCTGGTCTGCAGAGCCCGGCAGTTCCGGCACTTTTCTGGCACGGCACTCGCGGTCCTCTTGCAGCTGCAGGGGCTCAGCTGCCGTCCGTGGCACTGCACAGAGCCCTCCTGCTCTGCTGCTCGGGCTGGACAGCGTGTGCTGGGGGTTCTGGGTGCCCCACAGCCTGGCCACGTGGGGTGGTCACCTGTCTTGCAGCCTGTCCTGATTTTGTTCCTGGCTGTGGTGCTCAGCCCGTGGTCCCTCTGCCGGCATGTTCTGCGTGGGGCTGTCAGCCTCGGGCACTTGCAGTCACGGTAGCACATGGGGCCTGGGGCTGGCTGGTGTCTGCTGTGTGCTCCTGGTCTGCCTCTGGCATCTGCCCACTGCGAGGGCACTGGGAACTTACAGGGCCACCTGTACTGGGAACCTGATGGCTCATCCCTGGCTGCTGAGGCAGTGCCGGTCCCTCGTTCATGCGGGGTGTGTGGGGCTGCAGAGGGTCCCCCAGGCTCAGGCCTCTCTGCAGACGGACAGCACCTTCAAACCCAGGAAATGGTGAGTGCAGGTGTCCCACCCTCCTGGCTGGGCATCCCCCTAGAAACACAACCTGCATATCTGCAGACCTCCAGAGCAGCAACACCTGTTGGGTCTGGGGGAGCAGTGATACCAGTGCCATGGGATCTGGGGGAGCACAGTGGAGCATTTGACCACGGTTCAGACGCCTTTTCCATTTCAGGGCTCCACCCTGAATATCCCACCAGGGCCAGCCAGCACTGGAAAATTCCCTGGCTCTCTAACTCTTCCCATGCAGCTGTTGCTGAGCTTTTCATGGATTATGTTAATTTCAGCCAGATGTTTGTGGCCATAATATTTGCACCATGCATGTGACACAGAAGTGCTGGTATGAGACCAGCTTGCTCCTGTCCCCAGGCACCTGCCGTGGGTCTGATTGCCAAAGCCTGATGTCCATGTTACTTCCTGGCTCTTGGAGATGTTTCTGGAGCCCTGCATGGCACTGGGAACTCCAGCTGAGCCGCTGCCCACCGGGTGGGTGAGCTGTCACCTGTCGTTTGCGTTAGACACGCACACAGCACCATTCCAACCCAGTGTGCTTGTGGCATGAACTGCTGGAGAAGAACTGTGTGAAGGCGTGTGGGGCGTTTCGCTGGTGGCTGTCTCCAAACGCTGGTGTCCTCTGGTCTTGTTCTCAGAGCAGCTCCTCCACTGGTGGAGGGCTGAGGCAGCCAGAGCCCATGTGCTGCCGAGATCTGGGGGGGTTTGAGCCTGTCTGTGGGTGCAGGTGCACCCTTGGCCTCAGAACTTGGAACTGAGGCTCCATTTTAGTCTATTTCAGATGTAGGAATAACGTCGAAGGGATCATATCAGTGCACATATCAGGGCACAGAGTGTATGGAAACCTGTGCTGCAAAACAGCCTAATTAGGGAAAGACACCACTGTGCTTTTACTGTGGTAAGGACCAGTATCTTACTGGGATGCAGCAGGACAGGTGTTGACCTGTATTTCTTTTCAGGATGCTGGAGGCCCCAGCTGAGTGTTGTGCCTGCATTCTGGCTTTAAGAAAGGTGGTGACAAATTGCAGAGAATCGAGGGGCTGCATTAAAAAGACAAGTAGCTTTAAAAATACAATCCCTTGTGGGACAGGGAAGGGGATGTCATCAGCTGAGGGGAACTCTCTGTGTTTCTCAATACGTTTAAGGGAGTTTTGGATGAAGTCACTGGAGGAGGAAGAGCTGGAGCAGCAAGGAGGGCACAGGACTGGGGAGGGTTGGGGAGGTCATAAGGGTGGGTCAGACAGACCCTGTTGGGGGGACCCAGCATGTCTGGTCCCACCTTGGTGGGCAGTGTGTGGTGCACCATCTCTCCAGCAGACAGTCTGTGCTTCAGTGACACCTCACAGCCAGAACCTGCCAGAATATTTTAAAAAGCTGAGACTCATGTGGAAGGGAAACCATCTGGCGCTGTTGGAGTACATGTTAAACCCAGGATTTGGGAAGGGATGAATATAGACAGTCCTGTTTCCTTGTAGGAACAACTTTGCATCTCTGGGAGCACAGAGCTGTGCCAGGCGTGGTGGGAAGGAGCTCAGGAGCCTTCTGCCTTGGTTCCCTGCCCAGGGCAGGTATGTGTGCCTGAGGTGTCCCTGACAGGTCGGCTCTGACAGTCCAGTCCCTGTAGCCAGCCCCGCTGGGTGTTCAGTGCTTTGGAAGACATTCCCTTGTAATTGCTTCCTGCAGAATTCCTCGTCCTCGCTGCAGCGTGGCTGCTCCTGGAGACGGGATGGCAGATGCTGTGGATGCGGGTCGGATCCAGTCTGGCAGCTCGTGTGTTCCTGTGACCTTGGCACAGATGGCAGAGCCACAGCTCTGGCGGGTTGTCAGGTGCCTTCTGCTCAGTCCCGGGCGTGGGTGCTTAGGAGACGGGGGAGCAGCATGTGTCCATCTCTGCCCACAGGGCATGGCCGTGGCGTGGGGAGGGGCAGCTCTGAGCTGCTGCTCCGTGCAGTGGGTGCTGGGGAGGGGAACTGCTGGGGTAAGCTGCAACTGTCTGGCACTGTGAACACCCGAGGGAGGAGCGGGATGTGCAGCCTTGGGAGAAGCTCTGGGTGGGAGCTCTGCTCCCATGCACCGGGCTGTGGGTCTGTGGTATTGATGGGGTGGGGGGCAAGGCAGATGGTGGGACCTGTGCGCTTGGGAGAGGATGGAGAAGGGAGGGGAAGCGGCTTGTTTGACGCGCTGGCTGTGCTGTGGGGAGGGGAAGGACTGAAGGTGGGGGCTTGGCTGTGTCCCAGAGCTGGGTGCCTGCAGAGAATTGGAGACGGCCCGACAGTGGTGGAGGATGAGGGATCAAAGAGAGGGCAAAGTCCAACAAGGTGATGCTCCTGGTGCCAGCCCTGCCGGGATCCCGGTGCCGCTGCCGGTGCCGGCCCTGCCGGGATCCCGGTGCCGCTCCCGGTGCCGCTGCCGGTGCCGGCCCTGCCGGGATCCCGGTGCCGCTGCCGGTGCCGCTCCCGGTGCCGCTGCCGGTGCTGGCCCTGCCGGGATCCCGGTGCCGCTGCCGGTGCTGGCCCTGCCGGGATCCCGGTGCCGCTCCCGGTGCCGCTGCCGGTGCCGCTGCCGGTGCCGCTCCCGCAGCCAGCGTGGGCGCAGCGCCCCCTGGCGGACACGGCCGGCCCGTGCCCGTTCCCGTTCCCGGTGCTAATCCTGGCACTGCCCCGGCGGGGCCCGGTCTGATCCTGGTCCCAGCGCTCGGTGCTGCCCCGGCGGGGCCCGGGCTGGCCCTGTCCCGGTGAGCGCCCTGCCCCGGCTCCGGACTGGCCGGGCAGCGCCGTCGCTCCCGTGTGCAGGCTGTCCCACCGGCACCGAGCGCGGCTGGGCGGCGACAGGGACCAGGGACAGGCAGCCCTGGGACGGTTCCCACGCCGCGCCCGCACGTCCAAACCGCGGTCGGTGCCCGCGAAGGGCGGGGCGGGCGGGGCAGCCCCGGCCCCCGCCCCGTACCCATCGCGGCCCCGGCCCGTTCCGGGGCGGGCCGGCCCAGCCCCGCGCCGGCGGCGCCGAGCGCGGCCCGGACGTGCGGGCGCGGCGTGGGAGCCCCGCGCCGGCGGCGGAGAGCGGCGGGCGCGGGGCCATGGGGCAGCCCCGCCGCTGAGCATGGCCGAGGGCTGGCGCTGGGCCGGGCCGGGCCGGGGAGCCCCGCGGCCGAGCCCCCGCCGCGCCGTCAGCGTCTGCGAGTCGCTGGACCTGCAGGGCGTCCCCGCCGTCCAGGCCGCGCTCGGCGCCGCGCAGCAGCAGCGCCGGCGGCCCAAGAGCTTCTGCGCGGCGGGGAACGGGCTGCCCGGGGCGCTGCTGCCGCCGCCGCCCCGCGCCCGCGCCCGCGGCGGCCTCCTGGACCTGCTCCGGCTGCGCTCGCCCCGCAGGCAGAGCCCCGAGGGGGAGAGCGACGGCCCCGACGGGGCGCAGCGCCCGCGCCCCAGCAGCATGACCTTCCTGCCCACCGCCCGGCCGCCGCAGTCCGCCGAGAGCCCCGGCTTCCTCCGGGGCGGCTCCCTCTGGGGCAGCCGCCGCTGGAACCTCTTCGGAGGCAGCGGCTGGAGCGGTTCCAGCCCCAGGAAGAACTTCAGCTCCCTGCGGAAAAGCTTCAGCTTTCGCCTGCGCCGGGGCCACGAGCTGCGGCGCTCGGAGTCCGGGGGGCTCCTGCGCCCCGCGCGCCTTCGCACCAAGAGCGAGGGCGACGCCAGCTCCCTGCACACCTGCCCCAGCAAGCGGGACCTACTCTACCCGGAGCTGGCCAGGGTCGGGGGCCGGCTGCCCACCGACCCCGCACAAACGGGGGGACTCTGGAAACTCCTCACGAGCCGCTTCCGAAGGCGAGAGCGTGGCAGCACTGGCAACACGGGCCCCAAGGACCCCCACGGCGGTGTCGAGCCCATTCTCCTGGGAGGGGTTCCGCTGCGGGCGCTGGGTAAGTGAGCACGGGAGCGGTGCTGGGCTGGTGAGAGCCCCCTGCACCTGTGGGACCTGCAGGGACAGGCGGCTGTGGCCTCTCCTGGCCGAGGTCTTGTGCCGGACACAGGCATCTGGTTCTGTCCCGGTGCTCTGGGGTTTGTGCTCAGCTGTGGTGAGGTTGTGTGAGCGTTCCTGGTGCCGTGGGCACTGCCACGGTCAGCGGTGCTGGAGCAGCCGTGGTGTGGCTGCCTGGGAGGACGTGCTCCGGGGTCCAGTTCCCTTGCTGGCCGCAAACCCGTAAGTCAAGTGCACGTGTCCCATGTCCTGCTTGCCCCAGTGGTGTCCCAGCAAGGGCAGGGAGGGATGAGCCTCGTGCAGTGGCACTGGGGGAGCAGAAGCTAGGTAGGAAGCGGGGTGCTGTTGGTGGGCTTCTGAGCAGGTGGGACTGTTTGGGAGGTTGCCAGAGCAGAGGTGCAGAGCAGCGCGGTGGGTTGGGGAGCACAGAAATGGGCCTGTGCCGCCCTCCTGTGAGCAGCTCCCTGGTGCCAGGGCCCATCCCGAGGATTCTCTGCTGGGATTGTCCTCAGAGCTGAGTGGAGGCCGGATGTTTGTGAGCATGGGACGCTCACTAGGTGTGGGGCAGCCTCTGGAGACAGGGGTGGTATCCCCGGTAATGGCACAGGGGGACGGGAGCCGTGGAACTCCTCAGGGAACCCGCACTCGATGGGGACTGGCAGCTGAAGCAGTCTCAGGTGCTCGATTCCAGTGTCTGGTGGGGGGTTCTCCAGCATCGGGGTTGTGTGGGGCCTCAGCAAGAGCTGTATGGGTTGTACCTCTGTGCTCTGTCCCCTTCTCGGCCCTGTGGAAGGAGCTGTGGGCGAGCCCTGTGGCCCGGCAGGGCTGGGAGGCGAGAGCAGCATCCACAGCTTTTTAAGGCATGGAACGCGTGGAGCTGGGGGCTGGGCTGGGCCCCGCCACCCGCTCCCGGTGGGGCCTCGTCAGGTTCCGCCGCTCTGCTCTGCGTCCAGGCGTCGTGGAGGCAGTTTCCCACTTGGCTCGCGTGCTGGAGGGACAGCTTGGGGCTGGCAGGCTCCCCAGGGAACCCGTACACTCCTGAGGAACCCGCACAGTCCTGATCCAGCAGCTGCCCAGGGTAGCACTGTGCCCAGAACACTCTCCAGCAGGGTTGGCCTGCAGGGACCAGCACGGGAGCAGCTCTGCTGTTGCCCAGGGAGCTCGGGGGGCTCTTTCCTCCAACCCCTCGTGCCCTCGGGGCTTGCTGTGCTGCAGGGGAAGGGTCTGGAGGCTCCGGTGGGTGCGAGGGCTGCGGTGTGCCACGAGGCCAAGGGCTGGGATGCCCTGCGCTCGTGGGGGGCCCTGCGCTGGCAGGGCAGCCCGGGCAGGGTGCTGGCTGCAGGCTGGGTGGTGGGAGGTTCCCAGGCGAGGGGAGGCTGCGCTCATGGCTGGGGAATGTGGGTGTATGCGGGCAGGGAGGGCCGGGCCCTGCCCCTGCAGCGGGGGGCCTGTTCCTGCTTGCCGGCGGCTTCCAGTGGGAGCTGTGCCAGCAGCAGCCGGCTCGGCAGCCGCGCTCCCAGAGGAGCAGCCGAGGCTGGGCACTCCGTTGGTGTCTTTGCCCCTCACCTGGCTGCTCCGTGGGACAGGTAGGGCTCCCGTTGGGCCCATCTGTGGGAGGCCCTGCTGAGGATTCCATGGGGAGTGCTGTGGGGGGCTTGGGGCCCCTCCAGCTGTGACCAGCCAGATCGTGAGGGACCAAGTGCTTGGTCACAAGGGTTAGTGTTTGCCGCCATAGGTTGTGCTGGAAGCGGAGACTCGGGGATGACCCTGGCTGTCCCTGGTACTGTGGCTCGTTTTGGCAGAGCGAGCCCTGCCCTGGGGCTGCAGAGCTCACAGTGGGTTTGGCAGCCGAGAACACCATGCACTACCTGCCTGGTGCCTGCACAGCCCCTGTACCCACCAGACTTGTGTCCTCCTGCGGACACTGAGGTGTGAAGAGGCAGCAGTGAAGTCTACAGAGTAAAGCAACTGCTGCTTGTCCTCTCTCGTGCCCTGTCTCCCCATTGTCTCTCTGCTCAGCATGTTGGTCCCTGGGCTGTGTCTCTCTCCTGCTATGGGTCTCTGAGTCTGGGCTGGAGGAACACAGCCTTAGTGCTGCTCTGGTGGAGCTGCTCAGGAGGTCTCATCTCTGCCCCATCCCTGTTCCAGCCTCGCATACCAACGGTGTTCAAAAAACCCTCTTGACATCCCACAAACTTTGATGCCCCATGCGGGTTCTGCCTACCTTGCCCTGGGAAAGCTGCTGGTACAGCCCCAACTTGCCCTCCTGGGGGGTGCAGCTGCAGCTGTGGTTATCAGTGCTTGGAAAAGCTGGATGTAGGAGTCCCGGCAGAGAGCCAAGCCAGCACTCTCCCTGTTTCCAGAACCTGGAGTGGTTTGTTTACCACACGCTGTGATACCCACCCAGCGCTGTGCTCTGCGTGCAGACATATCCACAGAGAGCCAGGAGGATGCTCTGAGTGCTGCTCCCAGCCCTGGAGGGGTTCGGCTGGGACAGAGCACAGGGAGGGGTGATGGGGGACTTTTGGGATTTGTTACCCAAAAAACATAAAGGGATGGTCCTAATAGGCAAGGGAGGGCAACAGCCCTTGGGACTGGAGAGCAAAGTGAACACAGTCCGGACAGCTCGGACTGACCCAGGTGATCGTGGCTGGTGGTTCAGAGGAACGTTTCTAGGTATCCAGGTGTTGGCTGGTGCTGTTCCAAAGAGGCTCTCTAATAGGCATGGGTTTGGGAAAACTGGGCTGGTTAGGGATTGGAGTTGTCCCTGTGCATGGAGGGATTATGTGAAGGGCACAGCATTTCTGATGGCTCGGGATGTGTTCCTCACCCAAGAGAATAGCCTGATATTGTGTCAGGGAGATCTAGGCTGGCTCTCAGGGAAAGGTTTTTTTCCCAGAGGGTGGTCGGGCACTGAACAGGCTGCCCAGGGCATGGCACGGCCACAAGCCTGACAGAGCTCAAGGAGTGTTTGGAAAATGCTCTCAGGGACGCGGGGTGGGTTTGCTGGAGTGTCGTGGGCATGGCTGAGTTGGACTCAGTGATCCTTACGGGTCTTTCCAGTTCAGGATATTCTGTGATTCTGTGATCACAGCCGTGTCCCCTCTCCCAGAGAGCCATGCCCTGCTTTCTGAGGTGCTTTGAGGTACCTCCCATTGCTCTCTTGTGTGGAGGACTGATGTGCAGGGCATGTGAGGGAAAGCTCCTGGGAGAAGAGGGGCGTGTTTTCTCATGGATCAGGTGAAGTTTGCATAGTGAGTTGGGTAGGTCATGATAAATATCTTCTCATGTTGGTGCCTGCCTCGGCTGAGCTGGGAGCATTGGTGGGGCTAGAGATGCCTCAGATGCTGAGGCCAGGATGGTGTCTGTGCTTCAGGAAAGCTTGGGAGGTCTAGAAGGTGTCAGGGAAGGAGTTGTTGGGACAATGCTCTGGAAGGCCCAGCTCTCAGGATGAGGTCAGAGATGGTGCAGTGGGTGCAGAGGTGTCTGACTGCAGTCACAGGCAGCCCTAGGGAGAGGGAACTCCAGCCCCAGCGCCTTCAGTGTTCATCTGCCGGCACCTGTGGGGTTGCGGAGCTGGAGCTGAGGTCAGGCATGTTGGGAACAGGATTTTGCTGGCAAGATGGGTCCTCCCTGTGCTGGGTGGCAGTATCTCTGCATGTCACTCTGCTGGATTCTGCCTTCCAGCAGACCTGTCCTTCCATCACAGGGAGGTTTGGTTTGGGTCTTTGCTCTGCCAGTGTTTGGACAGGGACTGGAAAGCAGCAGGTGCTGAGAGGTTGAAATGCCTGGGTCTTCCTGAGTCCACACTGACAGCAGAGCCTGGTGATACCAACTGCTGCTGCCACGGTGTGACAGTGGAGCCAAGGTGGCAGTTCCTGATCGTGCCCTGTTTCACTGAGAGACACAGAATTATCTCCTTTCACTGCTGCAAAGTATTCAGAGCTCTGGTGAGATAATCCCTGCCAAGATCATGTCCTGCAGCAAGTTCTCGCACTGGCTCAGTGCTGACTGGAACGCTGGCCATGTCTGTGCTGGGTCCTTAACCTGGAGAAATCTCTCTCCTGCCAGAGCTGAGGCTTTATCAGCCTGGCCCAGGAAGGGTGGCTGTGCCCAGGAAGGGTGGCTGTGCCCAGGCACACCGCCTCTGCCGCCCTTTCATCTGCATGTGCGGGCAGGTGGGTCCATTGAACGTGGTTTGTGTGGCCTCTGCTGTGTTTGCTCAGCCTCTGACCTGGTTTCAAGGCTGGGTTTAGTGTCCAGGATTGCAGTGTCCAAGGGAGTTCCACCGTGGTTTGGATAATGAGTTGGTTAATTATTAGTTGCTGTGTGTGGAGACCAGATGTGTCTGGCACTGGCGCTTCTGAAGCACAGGGTAGATGAACCTGCTGCATGTCATCCCGTGGAGGGAGCAGCTGAGGTGAGGAGTGGGGTTTGCCCAGCCAGCCCCTTCCTTCTTGCAGTTTTCCTGCAGCACGTGGGTGTGAGCAGCCATGGGGCCGTGGCTGTCCCCTCTCCAAGCTCTCTGCAGGGCACGGGGGGCTGCAGTGTCTGGGCTGTGCCAGGAAGGTGCTGGTCGTGCCTCCTCGGTGTGTGACGCTGCTGTCCCACGTCTGGGGCCTGGTCTGAGGGTCCAGGTGGTGTCCAGGGTAACTGACTGACGTGACAAATGTCAGCTGCAGGGAGTCTGCTTTATGTCCCTGTCTGCTCTCGTGCATGGCAGAGAATCTGCCCTACCTCCCAAATTTCCACCCTCTGCAATAGAGCCACCTATACAGTGAAGCTTCTGTCAGCAGAAGATTCTGAGCATGACAGAACTGGCCTGAATCTCCTTTTCCCAGGCCAGGCCAGACTGAGCTCCTCTCGTGTGGTTGTGCTGTGGAGCCAAGGACACTGCTGGGCTGTGCTGAGGCTCTTGTGTGACAGCGGTGCTCGGAGACCACTGCTTCTTTGGATACACCTGGGGAAGGGGTTGAACTGCAGCACAGACAATCTGGTCCTCTCTGTGTGATTAAACGAAGAGAAGAGGGAGGCAGAGTGACCAGGTGTGCTTTCATGTGGAATACCAGGGTATGCAGCCAGTCCAGCAGTGAAGCTGAGCCAGTAAATGTGCCTCCTCGTGCTATGTGAACGCCAGTGCTGAGGGGGAGGACAGTCCCTGCAGGAGGACAGTCACCCACTGGAGGCAATCCCTGCTGAGCAAGCTGGCACCAGGGCCCAGGGGATGTGGGGAAGGTGCTCACACTCACCTGCCTGCCAGGATTTTGGGTGGTGCCTTTGTTCCAGTCAGGTCACCAATGGCTCACTGAGTGCATCCACGTGGTCACTGCTCCATTCAGGAGACGATGGGGACCTCGTGGCTGTTCCAGTGGGGAGCAGTGCCCAAGGGCTGGGCACCCCTGTACCCCCTAGGCCATCCGTGCCTGCCCACACACGGAGCTTCTGGAGCTGCCAGCAGACAAGGGAAGGGAGCGTGAGAAATCGGGGGGGTCCATTCGGGGGGGGTCTCAGACCTGGGGCTGCCCCTGTGAGCATGGATGCAGGCAGCTGCAGGACACAGGGCGCAGGTGACGTGAGAGATGAATGATGAGGTGACTTTGGGCCTGCAGATGGGCACAGCCACACAGGTGTGGGTCCTCCGGGTGCGAGGGGGATGTGCACACATGTGCGTGCCCTTTGCGTGGTGAGAGGAGGGCGATCAGCATGTCCTGGGGCAGAGCAGGGCGTGTAAAAAGGACTGGGGGGCACTTGCAGTGACGGACTCGGTTGTGGTGTGAGCCCCACCCTGACATGTGGCAGTGGATCGTTCTCCAAACCCTCAGACCTTCCCGGACTGGCTCCCGGTCACAGAATCGTTGTGGTTGGAAAAGGCCTCTTAGACCACGGAGTCCAGCCATTCTCCCAGCACTGCCAAGGCCACTACTGACCATGTCCCCCAGTGCCACACCCACGGGGCTTTTAAATCCCTCTGGGGATGGGAACTCCACCCCTGCCCTGGGCAGCTGGGCCAGGGCTGGACAGCTGTTTCAGAGAAGAAATTTTCCCCCAAATCCAACCTAAACCTTCCCTGACACAGCTTGAAGCTGTTTCCTCTTGTCCTATCAGGTCTTGATGGTGCTGAGTACCTTGTCCAGGTGCTGGATGGGAAGTTTCCCTGGGGGGTGCAGGCAGAGGACAGTGCCTGTGAACACACGTGGTTTCCTCCCAGGCACTGCCCTCTTCATCCCCATCCCCGCAGGAGGAGACGCCTGGGGCAGCTCCACCCACTCAGCTAGCGGGGCAGGAGAGCTAACGGGGCAGGAGAGCGGGTTGGGGCGGTGTGAGGAGCGAGAGGTGCTTCACATGGGCTGTTCAGAGTCAGGCTGGGGTGTCCACCCGAACAAGAGGTGCTTGTTCACTTGGAGAAGTTCCTCGGTGGAGGGGTTGGTGTGTGCAGGTCTGGCCCAGGGTGCAGGGACTCACACGGGTCTTCTGCTCCTGACACCTGTGACCTTGGCTCCAGAGGGGGCCGCAGAGGGAACTTGCCCCTCACAGATCTGTGTCTTGGTAGCTTTTCCAGGCGACAGTGAAGGAGTGGGGACTCCAGCTGCACTGTGCAGAGCTGTGCCAGCACCCTGGGACGGTGCAGGCAGTGCAGGCAGCGTACTGGGCTGTGCTGGGACCCGTGGGCAGTGCTGGGACCCGTGGGCAGTGCTGGGCTGTGCTGTGAGCCACAGGCTGTGCTGGGCAGTGCTGGGACCCGTGGGCAATGCTGGGCTGTGCTGTGATCCACAGGCTGTGCTGGGCTGTGCTGTGATCCACAGGCTGTGCTGGGACCCGTGGGCAGTGCTGGGACCCGTGGGCAGTGCTGGGCTGTGCTGTGAGCCACAGGCTGTGCTGGGACCCGTGGGCAGTGCTGGTGCCGTGTGTGCCGGGCAGGTCACGGTCAGGCCTGGCAGACGCTGGGAGCGGTTGGGCTGAAGTACAGGCTGTGCCTGCTGTTTCAGGTTAAGTTGCTAAGGGTAGTGAGGAGTTGGGGGTGCGTGGCTGGGCACAGTCCTGTTGGCCTTGTGGCACCAGCATTTGTTTGTGTTAAGGTTTATTCAGAGGCCTTCACAGCAAGTCAAAAATCAAAGCGTTGAGAACAAACTCCTGAACCCAGGTTAAAAAGCAAACAAGGATCTGTTGGGACAGCTGGCACAGGAGGCAGTTGGCAACAGTCAGAGCAGTTTGTCCTGGGCACCTGTGAGCAGATCCAGCTCACCTGAGAGCCCAGCCTGTCCTCTCCAGGGCCCTCCCTCCCTCTGCTCCTTCCCAAGGCCAGTCACTGAGAGCGTGTCTTGTGCTCTGCTCAGAACCCCTCAAAAACTTGCTGTGTGTAGTGAAACAGCATGAATGTGGTGCTTGGTCCCCTGAGGGAGTGCTGGGAAGGAGAAGGCCTTGGATGGTGCTTTATCCATCATCTTACCTGTCAAAGGAACTCAGTGGCACAGAAGTCCCAGGTGAAGGTGACGGTTTTTGTTAGACCCAGTGATGCAGTTGGAAACACAGGTGTGCTATTACCTTTTGGAAAGGGCTCAAGAATGTATCATTTTCTTCCTGACTGATGGGTTGTTTTAATAAAAAATTTACCTCTACCTAAAAAAAGAAAGGACAGGTGAAAGACACCGCAGAGAAATGATTCCTCCTTCAAATCCTCAGGATGGCTATAAATAATCTTGTGTTCTTGGAGCAGACCCGGGTGTTATTCGTCTGTAGCTCCTGGCAAAGGATTGTTCCTAAATCAGCCGTGGGAGGTAAACTCCAGGTACGAGCACCGTGTTCTCCCAGAGGAACGTGCCGTGGCCCACAGGGCCCAGGGGCTGCACAAAGCCGGGATGAAGGCACAGTGCCGGCTCATCAGGTCACTGTTTGTCCCCTCGTGGCCATTTGGCACCTGTGGGCCAGGAAGGGCAGAGCCTAGCCGGCCTCCTCCCCACAGCTTTGGGCTGCGTGTCTCCCACCGGTGCCTGCTGAGGTGGGAGAGGTGAGACAAGGCTTCAGCCTGGAGATGGAGGAAGGGCTGGAGCTGTTGGATGTCCAACCTCCCCTCGGGAGTTCGGAGGGCCAGAACGTGAGCCCAGGCCACCGTGTCTGATCACTAACTGTGATTGGGTCTGGTGGATTCACCACTTCCCTTGTGAGCCCTTCTCAGATTCCTGTTCTTGCAATAGTCCATGGCCACAGATTCAGCAGGTTTCTTACAGGCTCCTGGAGTTGCAGAGCTCCCACAGGTTTCCAGTCTCCAAAAATCCTTTCTGTGTATACATGATGAACATGCAGCCAGCCATGCATGCTTGAGCCCTGCCCTGGAGCAGGCCTTGGATGGAGTGACGGCCTCACCGAGGTGAATGAGGGACTGGGGATTGTCAGGAGGGACTGCTGCTGCTCCTGGTGCTCAGGGTGTTCTCCAGACTGCTGCGCCTCCTGCAGTGAGTCTGTTTCCATTTGGGAAGTCTGTCTCATCAGCTTCTGGGGCTGACTGGGATGTAAAGGAGCGTTTTGGAGCTCTGTGGCAGGCCAGGGGTGTTTCCTGCGTCGTTCCAGCCGTGCCGGATCGCCACAGCCTCTGTAAGCCTGTTGCAGTGTGCTGCCAGTTCCATCCTGTGCAATAACTGATTGTGTTTGCGTTCAGCCAGAAACGAGGATGATGTCCTGCAATCGGCTCCTCATCCACTCGACCTGCGGCATGCCGAGGGCAGGGCTCGGGGCACTGGCCTGTGCCCTCAGTCTGGGGTCCTGTGCAACCTGTGCTCTGAAAAGGGTGTCTTCAGGGCAAGGGATGCTAAAGGGGTTTTTGTGCTCCTGCAGGGCAGGAGGCAGGGTCCCATCCTGTGGTGCCCAGGCTTTGTCCTGCCACGTTGCCTTCGGCTTGGCCACTCCTCCCCATCCAGGGCTCTGGTGCAGCTTCGTGTCTCTGGATGGGGTGCAAGGGAGGGAAGAGCCATAAACCTGCCTGGAGGGAGCAGGGAGAGCATGGCAAGATCCTTGTTGGGATCTTGATGGCAACTGTGGTGACCTCATGATTTCTCCTCTGTGTTTGCAGATTCGTTTGTGAACAGCCAGGAGTGGACCCTGAGTCGCTCGGTGCCTGAGCTGAAGGTGGTGAGTACTTGCAGCTCATGCCTCGGTTACCCCTGGTTCCCCAAATCCTGTGGGATGTGGTCTCTGGCTGGGGGCTGCCTCTGCCCCTTCTGCCCCCGGCACAGCCCCTTGGGATGGGACAAGGTCAGTACTGCAGGCACTGGGGTGGCCTGGAGGGGATGTTAGGGTGGGCAGGATGCTGCAGGTGCTCCTCATTTGTGTCTGTTCTTGGAGCCATCTGTTCCCCTGCTCTGCTCTTACTGCGCTCTCTGTGCCAGCCCTCAGCTCCCTGTGCAGGCTCGTGCTGTGGCTCTTTCTGCCCTTTCTCCCTTTGACCTTTTTTCCCTTCGGCTTTTGCAAGATTAAGTTTTTTCAATGTTACTCCAAGAAACAAAAGATCAGAATTCTTTTTGCAAAGCATTCCAGCACCATCCTGCCATAGTGTTTCTTACCTGCAGTGAAGTGAAAATCAAAACAAACTTTGAATATGCATTTGTTGGTTTGCCTGTGAAATGTGTTTCCAAAAACATTCCCGCAGCTGTTCTGTGTGATGTTAAGGCTCTGGAGGCTGCGAAGCCATGCTGACAGCTAAACCATCCCAGAGCTTTTAGTTCTTCCTCAAGTAGCACAGCCCTTTTCCAGTGTTGTCCATGACCTCTGAGGATCTCTGTTGCTCCGGGGTTTCATCTGGCCAGTGCAGCTCTTCTAAAAGCCTGGAGGCCTTTCAGAGTCCTGACTCAGTCACAGGATCATTTGGGTTGGAAAAGCCCTCTAAGACCGTTGAATCCCCTGTTGCCCCAGCACTGCCAAGGCCACCACTGACCATGTCCCCATGTGCCACATCCACAGGGCTTTTAAATCTTTCCGGGCATGGGGACTCCCCCCCTGCCCTGGGCAGCTGTGCCAGGGCTGGACAGCTGTTTCAGGGAAGAAATTTCCCCATTATCCAACTTAAACATCCCCTGGCACAACTTGAGGCCGTTTCCTCCTGTCCTGTCCTTTGTTCCTGGGAGCAGAGCTTGACCCTCGTCAGAGCTTGACCTCCTGTCCTGTGGGAGGGACAGAGGACGTGGAGCTGCTTGAAAACTGGAAGGGAGTGAAGCGTGGGAATGTTTCTTGTGGGAGTAAGCATTGGGACCCTCTGCAAGAAGGGGCTGGAGCGTGTCCAGGGAAGGGAACCGAGCTGGGGAAGGGGCTGGAGCACCAGGAGTGGCTGAGGGAGGTGGGAGGGCTCAGCCTGGAGAAGAGGAGGCTCGGGGGGACCTTCTGGCTCTGCAATCCCTGACAGGAGGGTGAAACCAGAGGGATGGGTTGGGTACCTACGCTACCTCCTGGTTCTGTTCCTCAGCACTGTCAGTTCTAGGGGAGCTGGTTTGTAGCTCCAGCTGAGCCCGAGGACAGGACAGGGCAGAGCAGCAGGATTTCAGTGAGATGCAGGTCAGGGTTTGGACTATGTGCAAACAAAGTGTAACTGCAGCCTCTGCCCAAGTTTTAGAGCTAAATGCCATCGGAGTGCTTACCTCAGGTGTGGTGTGGGGCCATCACTGCCAGGCGGCCTCGGGAGCTGCTCCGTTGGTAGAAGTGGTCCCAGGGCCTGGGGCCATGGCCAGCCTGGCACTGAGCCCCAAAGCTGCCTGCCTGGCATGAGGGTCTCCACAGTTTATTCTGTGGAGACCTTCTCCTGTGCTCCCACCTGGAGTGCTGTGTCCAGGTCAGGGGCCCCCAGCACAAGACAGACATCAACCTGTTGGAGTGAGTCTGGAGGAGGCCCTGGAGCTGCTCCCAGGGCTGGATCCCTCTGCTCTGGAGCCAGGCTGGGACAGCTGGGGGGGTTCCCCTGGAGAAGAGAAGGATCCAGGGAGACCTGAGAGCCCCTGGCAGGGCCTAAAGGGGCTCCAGGAGAGCTGGAGAGGGACTGGGGACAAGGGGCAATGGCTTCCCACTGCCAGAGGGCAGGGCTAGATGGGTTATTGGGAAGGAATTCCTGGCTGGGAGGGTGGGCAGGCCCTGGCACAGGGTGCCCAGAGAAGCTGTGGCTTTCCCTGGATCCCTGGAAGTGTCCAAGGCCAGGTTGGAGCAAGCTGTGCTAGTGGGAGGTGTCCCTGCCCATGGCAGGGGGTGGCACTGGATGGTTTTTAAGGGCCCATTCAACCCAAACCATTCTGACTCTGTGATTCCCTGTCTCTGGTCAGATCTCAGGGGCGGGGGGAGGGCTTGGCCTCAGGGCCGGCTGTTGTCGTTGTCGGTAACGTGGGCACAGTGTTGGTGCAGCTCTTGGGTCCATGCAGGCCCTGTGGCTCTGGAGACACGTGTGCAGGAGGGGGAGGGCACAGCCCAGTTCACGTTCTCCGTGTTCTCACCTGTCTGAACGCGCTGTTGGGGACGTGTAGTTGCTGTGGCAGGTCCCAGAGCTGGCAGCGGTGCCTGCGGCCCAGGCGTGCCTGTGGAGCGTGCTGGTCTGTGCTCCCCGGTCCTGCTGTGTGCTGGCTCTGTGGGCACAGCAGGAGTTGGCACACGGAATGGTGTCCTGCGCTCTGGCAGCGTGGTCTGTGCCATCAGAATGCCGGCTGCTGCTGGGCTGCTGCCTCTCTGCCTCTCTCCGGGAGCGTGTGGGTGGCCCAGGGCAGGACCCGGGGCAGGACCCGGGGCAGGACCCGGAGCAGTGGAAGTGTTCAAGCACCTGGCTGAGAGCTGGAGAACCTGCCTGGTGATGGCTCACCTGCCGAGCTCGTCCCTGTGCCTGGAAAAGTTTGGCTGTAAACTTCTCTTTGGTGGCAGAGGCAGCTTTAGTGTTGCAGCTGCTCCTCACCCTACATTTCTCATCGTGTAAGTGCAGCTGTACAGGATCACAGAATCCCTGAGGTTGAAAAAACCCTCTAAGATCACCAATTCCATGGGTGAGGACTCCACCCCTGCCATGGGCAGCCTGTGCCAGGGATGGACAGCCCTTTCCATGAAAATATTTTCCTAATATCCAACTTAAACCTGCCTTGGCACAACTCGAGGCTGTTTGCTCTTGTCACTTGTTCCCTGAGAGCAGAGCCCAGCCCCCACCTGGCTCCACCGTCCTGGCAGGGAGTTGTAGAGAGCAAGAAGGTCCCTCCTAAGCCTCTTTTTCTCCAGGCTGAGCCCCCCCAGCTCCCTCAGCTGCTCCTCATCAGACCTCTGCTCCAAACCCTTCATCACAAACCTGCTCCCACAACCAGTGTCTTTAAACCATCGGGAAGGCACCGATGCCAGGCAGGGCTGGGCTCTCTGACTGACCCATCCTGGGACACCCAGCTCTGTTCCATGGCAAATCCAAGAGTGCTGGTGGTGCCACCTCGCAGGGGTGGCCTCGTGTAGAGGGACACGTGCTGGGCACACAGGTGACATGTGCCTCTGTTCCAGGGCATTGTGGGAAACCTGTCCAGCGGCAAGTCAGCCCTGGTGCACCGCTACCTGACCGGCACCTACGTGCAGGAGGAGTCTCCAGAGGGTAAGCTTTGGTTCCTCAGGTGCCTGGGGTGGGCTAGGTCCTCTCTCCTCTCCCCAGTGCTGGAGATGACCCCCATCCCTGCACCTCTCTGCCGCTGCCACGGGGCTCTGCAGCTCCCCTGGCCCTCGTTTGGGGTGTCCCCTGCCTGCTCCCCCTCACTGACCGGTGGCTTTGCTGTTCTCTCAAGGTGGCCGGTTTAAGAAGGAGATCGTGGTGGATGGTCAGAGTTACTTGCTGCTGATTCGAGATGAAGGGGGCCCCCCTGAACTCCAGGTAGGAGACCTGTCCCTCCCCACCCCCTTCTGGGGAGGCATCTGCCAAGCCTCCTCCTGGGATCCAGCTGTGGGGGTGCCCTTTCTGATGGCTCTGGACCCCAGGCCGCTCTCCCGGGCTGTAATCCCTGTAATCCTGCTGTATCTCCTCAGTTTGCTGCCTGGGTCGATGCTGTGGTGTTTGTCTTCAGCCTGGAGGACGAGATCAGCTTCCAGACCGTCTACAACTACTACCTGCGGCTCTGCAGCTACCGGAACACGGCGGAGGTGCCGATGGTGCTGGTGGGCACACAGGGTGAGAGCGGGGCCTGGGCTTCCCCCCACACCCCTGGCCTCGGGCAGGAGCACTGGTGATGTGTGTCTGCTGGCCCCTGGGGGGGTGCCAGCCCTGCAGGCGTGTCGGGGGATCCTGGTCTGTGAGCCCTACATGGGGCTGAGGGGTGCTGGGGCCCCAGCCCAGGGCCCTGAGGAGGTGATTCCTGCTCAGACCATCTCAGCTTTCCCACAGGGAGCTGCCTCGCTCTGTGGAGCCCCTTTCCTCATGGAGATGTCCAGATCTCCTAGTGCTGCCTCCTCCCACTCTGCCAGCAAAGGCAGGACGGAGCCTGGGGCTGCAGACTTGTCTGTGTGACAGCAGAAAGTGGCAGCAAGGCATGGATGTGGGGAAAAACTGTCGTGGCAGGACCCAGTTCCTGAGCAGTGTGACCTGTTCCTGGGCAGGAAGAAGCTCTGAGGCCAGGAAGGCAGAGACAGTGGTGGAGAGACACAGGGGATCTGCTCCAGACCCTAGATTGAGAGTAGAACAAAGTTGTTAAACTTTGGATATTTAAAGACTGTGGAATGAATTCTAGGACTGAGTGATCTCAGCTCAGGACAGGACTGGGGAGGCAGCATGTGCTGTGGAGGTGCAGGAGTAGGGACAGATGGCAGGGGATTCTGTGGCCGCTGTTGTTGCAGACACAGAGCCGGGTGGGGTCACAGCCTTGGTGCAGTCACACGACCCTCTGGAGAGTCCAAGGAGAGGCTCCTCACAGCGTGGTCCCAGTGTTCCTTCGGCCTCTCCTGAGAGAGTTTGTTTGCAACCCCCACTTGTCCCTGGCTTATGTTCAAGGAGTTGGATTCCTTTTGGGAAGGAAGTTTTTCCTAAACAGGCAAACACTTGGCGGCCATCTGGGATACAAGCTGAGCCTGTATTTTAGAGCTGTCCTCCAAGGCCTCAGCTGTGGGGACATCCCAGCAGAGCCAACTTCCCCATTAACCCAGGAGGATTTCTCCCTTGGATTCTTTAACATGTAGAGTTTGGCCACGAGCCCTGAGATAATGGAGACTGACAAATCCATTTTACTCAGGGGCTGGGACTGCCTGGCCTTGCCCCCCACACCTCCCCTGGGTCTGCTGAAACCTCAGTGGCTGGGCAGCTCAGGGAATTGAATCAGGTTCATTTACAGAGATTCATCCATTTTTCTACAACTGTGGGACTCTCAGGCATTTATGGGGGGTTCCTGTGGAGGTGGTTCCTCTGTGTGAAAAGAGGGAGGGAGGCCAGGAGACCTGGGACCTGTGAACCTGTGGATAAGTGGGATCAGTGGGATGTGGGTCCCTGCTCTTTAACCCCCCGTCCCTCTGGTTTGCAGATGCCATCAGTGCCACCAACCCCCGGGTCATCGACGACTCCCGGGCACGGAAGCTCTCCAACGATCTGAAGCGCTGCACGTACTACGAGACCTGTGCTACCTACGGCCTGAACGTGGAGAGGGTCTTCCAGGACGGTAACTGCAGCCAGGGCAGGGTGTCCAGGCAGGACAGGGCAGCAGTGCAGACCCGTGGAGGGGCTTAGGCTGCCCTGGGCTGAGGGCATTGGGCACCCGCTCGTGTGCACACACAGACCCGGTGCAAGGGGCAGGACGTGCCCCGTGTACAGGGTGTGTAAGGACGCCCACGCCCGTGGGTGTGCTTGAGGGGCCACAGAGAGGGGCTGGGCAGGACCTTCTGCCCCTCTTGCAGGGGCTCCTCGTGGGTGGATGCTGGTTCCAGAAGGCAGAGAGGCCACGGGGACAGTTGGATACCCACAGGGCAGTACAGCACTTCCTGAGCCAGGGAGGGCTTGGGGGGCCGCAGAGGGGGGTTTGGTGGCCTTGCATGGAGGACTGGAGAAGTCACAGCAGGACCTGGAGGTGTTGGAGTAGGGGAGCAGCACCTGAACACCTGGATGTTTCTCGTGGGAACAGTGTGGGAAAGCCTTCCTGCTGAGACTTGGAGAGTGGTCTACAAGAGTGATGCTGAGAGGTGACAGGGAACCTGCACCATCTCCTGTGAGTTTGCAGAATGCTTAAATAAACCAGGACCCTGCTATAAATGGGACTCTGTGTTCCCTCTAGGGACAGGACAAGGGGGAATGGCCTTTAACTGAGCAAGTAGGTTTAGATGAGATATCAGGAAGAAATTCTTCTCTGTGAGGGTGGGCAGGCCCTGGCACAGGTTGCCCAGAGAAGCTGTGGCTGCTCCTGGATCCCTGGAATGTTCAAGGCCAGGCTGGACGGGACTTGGAGCAACCTGGTCTAGTAAGGTGCATCCCTGCCCATGGCAGGGGGTGGAACAAGATGAGCTTTAAGGTCCCTTCCACCCCAAAGTAGTCTGTGATTCTATGGTTCCTTTGTTGCCCCCTTCTCCTTCTTGTCTTCTGGTAGTGCTGCTGGGGATCTGTGTTCAGCACATGAGGAGGGGGCTGTGCAGGCCTGAAGGTTGGGCAGGATCCATGTTCCATGGAATGGTCTGTGTGGAGCTAAAGCCTGGGCAGGACAGAGCTGCTTTTGGGCAGGAGAGCTGTGCTGGTGGTGTTTGCAGGTGGAACAGGCACATGAAGTTTAGAAATTCTGATGCCTGAAGGCAGGAATTCAGCTGGGGTCGTTGCAGCACAGCAAGACAGACTGAGGACAGACACAGGACTGATCCTGTCACCGGCCTCAGGTGGCTCCAAGCCAGAGCTGGTGACCTTCCTTCCCCTGCCTGAGCCTATGTCCTTCAGTCATCTTAAGCTGTGGCTAAGGATCACAGTCACAGTGGTGATTTCTTACACAGAAACATGTGGAGATGCTCCTGCTGCTGCTCTGGGACCATCTCAGTGGTCAGACCCACCTTCCAAGCTGTCCCACGTGGCAGGGACCCCTCAACATCCAGCAGCCTCTGCACCAGTTCGATGTTTCTGGGGACACCGGGTTGGCTCTGTTGGGCAGGTCTGTTGTGATACCACCTTCCTCCTCCTGAGTGATGGAGGAATGGGTGGAAGGAACAGTGTGAGTAGCTGAGGACAGAGAGCTGGAGGGGAGCATCTGCCAAACCAGTTGGGATATCTGCAGAGCACACCTGGGGAGAGCAGCAGCATCAGGGCTGTGAGCATGGCTGATCCTGGCTCTGGAGAGCACTTGGTATTGAGTGTCACCGGATCTGCTCAGCCTGTTCCTTCCCTCTGGTTCTGTTGTGCCCTCTCTGGAGGGCAGCATAGCAAGGAGCAGCAGCTGGAAGGGCTGGGAAGGCACTACAGGATAGGAGTGGCTGTTTGTTAGGAGCTGCTCATCCTTTTCCATCTCAAGATGGAATGAATGGTGCTCTGGAGTTACTGCTCCCTCTCTTGACCCTGTAGCCCAAACACCACAACTTCAGCAGCACTTTATGTGAGGTGGACTGGGCTCTCAGTGCCAGCGCTGTGTCCCAGGCATGGTGGAAGACCTGGAGTTGCTGGCTGAGGGCTCTGAAGTGACCACCTGCAAGGTGCTGGGCTCCATCCCTGTCTGGACTCGGCCTCGGGCCATACATGGGGCCAGGGAGGCGGCGAGGGAGGGGAACTGTCCCTGTGAGGAGCCATGAGGCTGAGGAGATCCAGGAGTGTGGCAATCTGCTCACACAAACCTAGCGTTGGTCTGGGCAGAGGCTGGTGCTGGGTGAACAAGGAGCGTGGGCAGCTGTGGTGGGAAGGTGAGGCTGTTCCTGGCAGAGGAAGCAGAAGTGCCAAGGTGAAATCTGGATGGATTCGTGCTTTCGTACAGATCAGCAGGAGGAGGCGCTGGAGCCTGTTCAGACCTGGATGTCAGCACTTCAAAAGGATGCAGAGAGACTGAGAAAGTTAAAAAAAGAAAAGCTACAAAAATTAATCAAAAGCTGGAAAAAATACCTGATATGAGTTACTACAAGAGTCATCCATTCAGGAAATCAAGAAGCTCGAGAGGAGACTTTATTATAGGAGTAACTACGTACCCATCTACATGGGAAGGGATCCCAGATGGGAGACTGCAGGCTGGGACAGAGCTTGTGCTAGAAGCCCCAGCCAAATGAATTCAAATTTGAAAGAGTTCTTACTGATTTTATTCATAGTTTTATTCATTAGCTGTTGAGAAAAACGCGTGAGGAGGTACCGTATCCTGCCTCTCTTGTGGTTTCTCCAAACCAGGCCGAGTCCCTCACGGGGACAGTCCTGCTGTTTGCTCCAATGGCTGGCGTCATGGTGACTGTGCTCCTGCCGAGTGCTTTGGGGGCTCTGGAGAGAGCTGAGTGGGAACTGGGAGCTGGGAGGGGAGCAGAGGGACCCACTGTCTTGCAGGAGATTTGGGCAAAGCCCAGGTACTTGGTACTCTCAGCTGCCTGTTGTACTGCAGGACCAGAGAGCTGCTGCTGAGCATAGCTGTGTGATGGAGGGGATGGAGCAGAAACTGAGGGCAGCGGTGCTTGACAGGTTGGCTGCAGCCATCACTGGCATCTGGGAACTGCTCAGGGATTTCCAGGGTCCCATTCCAGGTAAAGCTGACTAATGGGAAGAGATGTTTCTGGAGTGGGTAAGCAGCTCTTCCTAGTGAGCACAGTTTCGGGATCTGATGGATCCTGGCACAGCTGGTTTGCGGTCTGGTGGAGTGCTGGCGGTCACGGACTGTGTGAGGGCTTTGCCTCAGGTGGTGATCCAGTTTCCATCAGACCATGTCTTTATATGTTTTCTCCCACACCAGTTGCTCATCTCAGATCCTGGCAGACCTGCCCCGGGCAGGCTTGAGAGGATGCCCACTTCCCACAGCAGAGAGGAAGAGTTCCCTAAGCGCTGCTCTTTACATCCAGTGCCAGGGTCACTCCCTCACTCGTGCTGTGTGGAGTGTGTGCTGCACCTCTGCTCCCAGACAGCCCTTCCCTGCCACTGTCCTGGCTCACAGGAAGCAGCCACAGACCTTTCTGAGAAGCAGGTCAGTGTGCTGGTCTGGCACAACATCTTGAGGGACTGTCCACCCTGCAACTCTGTGTTTGTGGATGGTCCTTCCCACATGTGCACCTGGTACTGAGCATCAGGGACGCTCTGAGATGGAGAAACTGGAGTCTCCACCTTCACCAACTGCTCAGAGGTTCTCTGAGAACTGGATGGCCCTGGCTGCTGTGGTGTCCCCACAGATCAGGCAGAAGCAGCAGACCCACCTCCTCAGAGCAGGTCCCAGCTGTCCAGTCTGGAGCTGGAGCTGGGTGTGGTTGTGCTTACCGTGTCTGGACCGAGCACATTCCAGCGTGTACCTGGTGGTGGTGAGGCTGCTGGTGTGACAGAGGCTGTGTCCAGCCAGTCAGGCTGACAGAGGTCACCATGAGAAGGACACGTGTCAGGAGGACGAGGGTCACTTCCTCTTTGCTGGTTTGTCATGTGTCCTGGCAGAATTCCCCCTGGAGACGCTGCTCGCTGTGTGAGAACTGCACTCCTCTGTCCTTCCCAAGTTCCCAGCTGTCACAGTGGCTGTTGTGGTGAGAGGATGGGACGGTGCTGGTGACTTCAGTATCGCTAGGAGATGGCCTTGGCACGAGCAGGGATAGTGCCCCAGGCCAGGCTGTGTCCTGCAGTGTCGAGGGCACTTCAGGACTCCCTGAGGGTGAGCCTGCTCTGAGAAGTGGTCGGTGTGGTCCCCTCATGGCAGAGGCCCTGCCAAGGTGGAGGCTGGCACAGAATGTGCCCTGAAGAGGTCCAGTTAAAGAGCTTACTTCTTAGGACTGCCTTCGCAGTTCCTGAGTGCAGAAATCTCCTGGGGTTCATCAGATGCCAGGACAGTTGCCAGAAGCCATTGATGTGAGGGGGCTCTTAGCCTCGGCTCTTAAAATTTATTTTAAGGATGCTTCTGTACCAAGCAAAGGTCAGGGAGCAGAGAGCCCCTTGTCCATGTTCACCTCAGCCTCCTATAAATTTTCTGAACACCTGAAGCCGATGAGGGTCCCAAGGGCCCAGACTGATGGAGGTGGTATTGCCTAGGCTGTTCAGTTCAGTACCTGGCTCCTGGAGCTGTCATGAGGGGTGACTGAGAAGTGACTCTGGCTGCCCAGGGCTTCTCCTGCAGCAGCCCAGGGCTTGGGGTGTCTCTACAGTGTCCATGTGAGGTCACTGCTCTGCGTGACACTCAAGAGGGCAAGTGGCCTCTGGGGACTCGGCCTGGGCAGCACAGGCAGCCTGCCATGCACCGTCCCTGTGGATGGCAGGGATCCTGTGTGGCAGCAGGCTTGCAGGTTGGGTGTCCTGCAGAATCCTCCCTGTGAGTACAAGGGGGCACAGTGTGAGCTACAGGTGTTGGCCTCGTCAGGGGAAGGGCCTGGGTCACCCTGAAGCCCTCCAGAAATATGTGGGTAGAGAAAACCACTTTCTGAACTCTGACCCTGTCCTTTTCTCCCTTTTCCAGTGGCTCAGAAGGTGGTGGCTCTCCGGAAGAAGCATCAGCTGTCCATTGGCCCCTGCAAGTCCCTGCCCAACTCACCCAGCCATTCATCCGTCTCCGCAGCCTCCATTCCTTCTGTCCACATCAACCAGGTGGGGAACAGGAACAGGGAAAGCCAGGATCCCTCGTGCTCTGCACACCCCTCAGCTCACTCAGTACCCCACACGTTCAGCCTTAGGCTCATGCTGCTGCCCTGGGATGGCTCTTGGGAAGAGGAAAGTGGTGTCACCCTGGTGTTTCTGTTCATAGCCTTGAGAGATTGTGGCTGCCCCATCCCTGGAAGTGTTCAAGACCAGGTTGGACGGGGCTTGGAGCAACCTGGTCTAGTGGTAGGTGACCCTGCCCATCACAGGGATGGAACTGCATGGGCTTTAAGGTCCCTTCCAACTCAAATCATTCTATGATTCTAGGGTTCTGTGATGGTTAGATGCTTGCCCTGAGGTCAGGTTTCGTGTCTACATCTTTGGGTGTGGCTCATGGTCCCCAGACCGTGTTGTGCTTCTGCAGACACACAGCAAAGCTGTGAGGAGTCCTCAGGGAGCTCCTGGACAGCAGAAGGGATCTGTGAGAGGGTCTTGCTCTGGCTGCCCTGGCCAGGCAAGCACAGCTGCCCATGGTCCTGTTTCCCCCAGACTCAGAAAGCTGATGGTCTTGATGCCCATGCAGGTGGCTTGTGAGGGGAGGTACCTGTGGAGAGCCTGTCAGGTCGAGGGACAGCACGTGTAGCTGGTGAGTTTTTCCCAAGGGGATTGACTTTGAAGCTCCAGGTGTATTGGAAACTTCTAGCCCTGGGAGGACTCCTGGTCCTCCAGTGTGGGACCCTGTCCCTGCACAGACCTGAGCCATGTCTGCAGCCACTGCCTGGACCCTTTCATGGGGAATTTTCAAATACCCCGTTGAAGTTTATACCTGGCTGTAGAGGCTTCTAAAGCTGGACTGCAAGTAGGCAGATGCAGGTTTTTGCAGAGACCTGTGCCAGCTTCCAGGTGCTCTGGGTCACCTGGACACCAGCAAGTTCAGGTGAAGTCTGTGGGCAGTTGAATGGGCTGCTGGGAGAGGCTGCAAAGCCAGATTCTGTCAGAACTTGCTCGTGTCTAGGAAGCTGGGGACGAATTCAAGGGGAGGCATTCAGGGTGGAGAACAAAGGAAAACACAGATTTAAGTGTATCTGGTAATTTGAGGGTTTTCTTAGCAGACGAATTGTGTGCAGTCAGAGCCTGGTTGGGAAGGAGAGGCCACCTGTGCTGGAAGGGGAGCAAGAGGCCCCTTTCCTTGGGGGGAGGTGGACACTTGCTTGGTGTTGTCTTCCCTGTCTGGTCCCAGAGCCACTCTGTCCCTCCTTAGGAGTGTTTTTTTCCTGAGCAGGCTGCTTCTTTGGGGCCTGAGAGCATTCCTTTCCCCCAGACTGTCCTTTTTCCTTCCACCAGGAGCTGCCCATGAGGTCTGCTTCCCTGCATAGCTTTGTGTCCAGAGAGATGGGATGCCATTGGAGGTGGGAGGATGTTCTGCTCCAGGCCTGGTCTCCTGGCCCAGGCTGCAGGGACAGCTCTGTCCTCTGGAGCTGCTGGTAGAGAAGGCACTTCTCTGGGAATGGGAACAAGAGGTCCCCACAAAGGGCTGCTTATGGCAGGCAGGAGCTTTGAGCCAGCCTTGCCCCTCTGCTTGTCCTGGGCATGTCTCTTCTGGAAGTAGCTTTATGCTACTGGGTGAGCTGAACTAACATTTTTGGAAATGTCTTGTCTGCTCTGTCAGTCAGTCCAGTCCAGCACCATTACTGGGAGACGAGGGACACCAGAGGACCCTGGTGGTTTTGTCACCTGTCTGTCCAAAGGGCTTCTTTCTCCTGGGACAGCAGTGCTGTGGGGGTGTCCTGGTGTTCTTGCACAGTGGAGGATCCTCTTGGGAACCAGCCAAAGAGCCTGCTTTCATTCTGCCTTTGGGAGTCTGGGATTTTTTTGCTTTTATTCTGCAGCAGTACCCAGTGCCTGGGGGACACTGCTCCGTCCATGGGGAGGGGATGGGAGCTGCAGGAGCAGGTTAGCCCTGGTCAGTGTTTTCCACCAGCTCTTACGAGTCACCAGAAGTGCATGGTGGGTCCTGATCCCGAGTTCCATGTTCAGCATCTCCCTGGTCCTCTGGTGTGGCAGGAGCCAGGGCCGGCCCCGGAGTCCTTTGCTCCCTCAGGGACACAGGTCTGTCCCTCAGGCCTTCCCAGCAGCTTGAGGGTTGTGGGTCTGCACCCGTTGGAGCAGGCTCCTTAGATCCCCTGGAACCCTGCAGCCCCAGGGAAAGCTCCTGCCTGCTGCCTTGGGCTCTACTCTCCCCGTCCTGCCCATACCTGTCACTGGGCGAGCAGGTTGGATGGGTTTGGGAGCCCCATTTCCCACTTGGCCCTGACTCCCACCTGGCTCCTTCTTGGCAGCTCCTGGCCCTCGCCTGCAGGGAGGGGGTGGGAGTTTCTCGGACCAGTAGCTGCTTGCAGCACCTGCTGAGTTGTTCCACCTGATTTCCTCACTGTTGCTGCCCTGTTCTCAGTCCTTCTTCAGGGCCTCTGGGATGCCTTTGGGAATTCCCCCGGCTGTGGGTGAGTCACCACTGCGTTCACTGTGGGATGGGAGTTTGTCTTTCTGCCAGGGAACTGGTTCCCAGCGGCTGGCAGGAGGTAAGGCAGGTACCCCACATGGGTACCTGGCAGGGAAGTGGGTGCTCCCCTGGGCCTCAAGAGCCGCTGCCGTCCCCACCACGCTCCAGGATGGCCTCGCTCTGCCTTCCTGCACGGGTTCTTTGGGGACACTGGGAAGGCCTTCATTCAGACTTCAGTGAGAGAGCATGTGAAAGAGGTGGAAAATTAAAGTTTGCACGTGAAATGAAGCCCCAGGGACAGCTGACCTGAGCTGTTAGCAGCGCTCTCCGGCCTGCCGTGGCATGTTCCGGCAGAGCTCAGGAGCTGCAGCAGCGGGTGTTGGCATTTCCTCATGGAAACCTGTGTCCCACTGCATGCTCTGCTCATGGTGCCCCCATTCCAGGGTTTGTACACTCCTCTGCCTTCTGCCCTCTTCCTGCAGATGCCGAGTCCTTGTTTGCTGTTTGCTTGCACTCTTCTACTCGGAGCCCTTCCCAGATTTCTGTGTTCTGCCTCAGGTCTTGTTATGCCAGGAATTACAGCCCCTTGACTCCAGCTGTGTTCTGCCCTGTCCAGGCACCCAGTGGCAGTGTTGATGCTCTTCCACCCGTTATGCCTTAATGGGAAGGATCTGTCCCAGACGTGTTTTACCAGGTTTCCAGCTCCCACTGTGTTCTCAGATTCCGATGGTGACCACAGGTGGTTGTTCCGGTCCATCAGCAAAGTACCTGCCAGGAGCAGACACTGGGTGCGTGCCCAGACCTGTCATCTTGTCAGGGTTCTCCCACATCCCTGCAGTTTGTCCTGGGTGCCTGGATCCCACTGAAGTTCTGGAGTTCCCTGTTCCAGCGGAGCAGTGGGGTGGTTCGGGTTTGCCTGTCTGAGCTGCTCTCTGTGTTCGGGGGAATTTCTCCTCTGCCCCCAAACTCATGGGATCAGCCCTCCCCCTTGCCTTCACAGTGTGGTGCAAGCCATCCTCCAGCCCCAAAACCCTTCCTGAGGTCTGGCTGGCTGTGATACACAGGAGGCTCAAAGGCCAGTGTTCTTTATTGCCCAAGGACTGCAACCTTGGCTCCAGCACCAGGCAGACTCAGGCTAAGGAAAGTTATTCCAAGCAGGCAGAAATGACACACAAGGTTACAGGGACTATGTAAAATATAAACCAGGATTTAGCAAGATTTGTTCCTTGGAGCTTTAGTGTCCATCACCTACATCCACAGGGTTTGTCCCAGCTGCTCTGGCAGGAGCTCAGACTCTACATCCTCTGCTGAACCGGGCCCTCCCCACAGTCACAGCATCATGAATGTGCTGCCAGGGTCCCTGAAAGGCACTGAGCATAGCCAGGGGTCCAGGCCTCTGGGCAGCTGTGCCTGGCTCACTGGTCCACATGGCACGTTCTCTGTGCTGCAGCATCTGCCTTCTCTTCCCTCACACCTGAAGTATTTCTCTTTCTTTGACCTGGTTCACACAGTTCACACACGATGACTGCACACACGTTGTTATGCCTCATCCAAGACCTGAGCTGTCTCAGCAGATCCTCTCCCTGGGTCTCTGCAGCTCTTCCTTCATCGCAGCACCTGCAGAACTCTTGTGAGTGCTGGGCCCATGGTTCACGGGAGCTCGCTCTCTGTTGAAGGCTCTGGCAAGAACTCACTGGCAGGAGAGGCCTTCTCTTAAGAGAGGAAGGTTCTCTTGTGTGTCCTCTCACATTCCTCTTGTCAAAGATGAGAGGATCCATGGGTTGGGTGAAGGTTGCACCTCTCTCCGGGGCTGGGCTGTACCTGTGTTGCTGCCTGGGCCGTCGATGCTGCCACTCTGTGAGTGTGGGAGCTGGGAGGAGGTGGGCTGCCCTTGCTGGGGTGCTGGAGCTCTCATGCCCTTCGAGGGGCAGCTCTTCCATGTGTTTCTGAAATGCTGTTCCAGAGCTGCCAGGGAGCTCGGGCTGCCGTGTGCCGTGTTGTAGAGAGACATCCCGTCCTGCAGATGTGAAATGCTTCTGTGCAGTTATTGCTCCTGGGACATCCCTAAGCTCCCATCCAGGTGGCTTCCCACAGAGCTGGCATGGGCAGGGTCAGAGTGAGCAGCCTTGTCTGAGGAGATGTTTTGGTGACGTGGGTGCACGGCTACGTGGTTGGGTCTTCCCCTTGCCGTGAAGTCCAGCAGGGTGTTAGTGAAGGCCCACCATGTTGTCCCACGTGTTCCCAGGCACAGTCCACTGCAGCCAAGGCCACAGTGGTCTGCAGGCATGGGAGTTGTGTGCCAGTCTCAGAGTGTGCTTGGATAAACCTCCAAACCAGCAGCAGAGATGGGTTTCACACAGACCATGAGCTTGGGGTGAGGCACCCTGTGCTTCAGGACACTGGAAATGTAATGGCTGGAGTCCTGGGGACACACCTGGAGTCCTGGGGACACACCTGGAGTCATGGGAACTCACATCCCCACTGGCATCATGGCTGTCCTCGTGGGACAGGGAAGGAGGGGAGGCTCTGGGCTGCTTCACAGCTTCATGTCTGATGGGCTCAGTGGAGGGGAGGGCTCTCACTGTCCTAGGGGAGCGATCCCAGTCCCTTGGAATGTTCTCAAGAGATGTTCTGGGAGCACATGAAGGTGCCCCAGCCATGCCCCCCTGCTGGGTGGGGCTGCCATAGGTCCCTGCTGCTCCTGGCTTGCTCCACGCCTGTGTGTGGAAGGATTTCAGCCGGGTCTCTCGGGCATTTGCTGCCCTTCACTGTCAGTTTCAGAACCAGAACATTTTACTGGGGGAACAACTAGAGCAGAAGGATGGGAAAGGCTTTCCTGAGCCCTACAGTCAGGCACCAGCAGTGCTTGATCTGGGATGTCTCTGAGTTGTCCAGGGAGGTTGTGGATTCCCCAACCCTGGAGGTGTTCAAGGCCGGGCAGGGTGGGACTTGGAGCATTCTGGTCTAGTGGAAGATGTCCGTGCCCATGGCAGGAGGTTGGAACTAAATGGTCTTTAAGGCTCCTTTCAGCCCAGTCTGTTCTGGGATTCTGTGATTCTGTGGATGTCACCCCGTCCCAGTCCTGTGCTGCATTCCCTGCCCCGCTGCAGTGGTGAGTGGGTGGATGGTATTCCTGCAGCTGTGCCTCCAGGCAGCCTGTCTCTGTCTGACCATCCCCTCTCCTTCTGCCCCAGGCCACCAACGGCGGAGGAGCCTTCAGTGACTACTCCTCCTCTGTGCCCTCCACCCCGAGCATCAGCCAGCGGGAGCTGCGGATTGAGACCATTGCTGCCTCCAACACCCCCACCCCCATCCGCAAGCAGTCCAAGCGGCGCTCCAACATCTTCACGGTAAGCGGCACGGGGGCCCGGGACCTCTGGGGTGGGTTTTCAGGGGAGGAGAGGGGAAGAGAGCGAGTCAAGGCAGCCTGACCCGATGGGCTGTCCTTCACAGTGACCTGTGCAGTGCTGGCAGGAGGGCTGGGTGGCTGGGGGTGCAGGAACGTGCGTGTGTGTGGCAGGGACCTTCTGCGTGTGCAGGGACCGTGGTGCCGAGAGCTGCTTCTGTCAGGGTGTGCATGCACGGGGGAGCACCTGGGAGCAGGACATTCCTTGCACATGTAGGAGTGTGCATCTGTGCACTCGTGTGTGTGTGTGTACAGTGTGCGTGTGAGCAGAGCTCCTGCTTGTTTATGGGGAATGCACCTGTGCGTTCACAGCACCAGTGACTCTGCTCTTCCTCTCCTTGGGGCTGTGTCCCCAGGGCGTGGCACGGAGCCCTTTGCTGCTGGGAGCCCTGTATGGTGCCAGTGGTGCTGTGTCCAGTGGTGCTGTGCAGAGCCCAGCACCTGGCACGGGGCCCCACTCGCTCCAGTTCCCAAGCCCTGCGTCTGCGTGACTTGAGCAGCACACTGGGAGCTGCCATGGGCACGGAGGGAGGGGAGGCAGAGGGGAGGCAGCGAAGCCCCTGGTGGAGCAGGGTACGTGTTCAGCTCTTCCCTGTGCTGGTTGCCCTGCAGCCCGCCTCTCCACACGCTCACACCGTGCACACACTGTCCATGCAGCATGCACAGTCCTGCCCTCACACTCACCCTCGCTGTTAGTGCAGCCATGAGTGTCCCCTCGCTGTGAGCACACACGTGTCCCAGTCCTGTGTCTAGCATAGGTGTAGCCCTCTGTTCCCCATGTATGTGTGTGGGCTCCGGCCTCGCTCCTCTCCCCATCTCGATGTGCTTTCCAGCCACCATTGCTCAGCACACTGTGTCTGCTGTCTGTGGCACCGGCCACCACTAAGTCCTTGTACCTGTTGCACCGTGTCACCCTTGTGACCAGACCACACAAATACAGTGTCCCATTCCCCATCCCTCTCACTGCACCATTGGCATCCCAAATTCCACTCTCCTTGTGCTGGGAGTGTGCCCATCTCCCTCGGTTTCTGACATCCTGGAAGCTTCTGTGCTGGTGTCCTGAATGCTCTGTGCACTCCCCCTGATTGCACTTAACGCACCCCCAGCTCTCTGTGCACGCCCCTGCCCTGTGCTCACCCTGTCCCTGTGCTGTGGGCGGGTGGGTTGTGCCCCCCAGCCCTCCTGGTAGCACACACCGTTCTTCGCAGCCGGTCCCCGCTCCCAGCGCATGGTTGTTCCCTCACTGCCCTTCGGTCCGCGCTCACCCCTGCTGCGGATCCGTGGCCGTGGCCATGCCTCCCGCTCTCCCCGGTGCTGAGGGATGCTCCCCCTCCCCGCCGTTCTCTCGTGCTTGCTGCTGTGCCCCGTGCTCGGGTGCCACACCCGTCCTGCTGGCCGCGCGCCAACGGGCCGGCCTCGCCGTCAGCTCGTGCTCACGCTCTCTGGAGCCCCATGCTCGCTCTTGGGGGGTGGGAGGAGGAGGGCGGCTTGCTGCGGGGCTTCTGCTTGTTGGCTGTGGACGCCATCATCCGTGCAGGCTCTCACGTGCTCACCCATCCCGGGCTCACGCTTGCTCGCTGCCGCGGGGTCACCCGGGCTCGGCCGGCGCGCGCTCACTCGCCGCGGGGCTGGGGCTCACCTCACCTGCTTGCTCGTGTGCTGGTGCACATCCATGGCTCACGTTGACGTCTTCACCCATCTGGTCGTGGCAGCAGCAGCAGCTCCCGACACCTCCTCCTGCAGTGGGACAGGGCGAGGGAGGGCAGGGAAGGAAAGGGCAGGCTGTTTTCTGCCGCTAGCTTTTCCCAGGCAGGCAGCTCAGGTGTAGCCAGCAGCCCCCATCCCTCCGGGGTCCCCAGGTGAGCACAGGCCTGTCTAGGTGCGGTGCTTGACTCAGCTCCAGGAGCCACTGCAGCCCCAGTCCCGAGCCGTGCCTGGCTCCTTCACTTCTCCTCTCCTCTCCTCTCCTCCTTGTCCTCTCCTCCTCCTCTCTCCTGCTCTGACTCCCCTCCCACTCCCCTCCCTCCCAGTCCTCACCGGATCACACCCCCCCAGGGGGGTCTGAGTGCCCCAGAGCTCCAGGTGGAGACAGACTCTGTGCCCACCCGCGCCCAGCCCCTGGCCCCCACCCCGACTGCTGCTGCCGCCGGCGCCCGCTCTGTGGCCTGTCCGTGCTGTCCGCTGGTGCCCATCGCTGACAGACTCGTGTCCGTGTTCTGAGTATAACTTGCCAAACTCTTTATTCTTTCGATATTTGCAGATATGTGCCACTGTTTCCAACTTTTCATCAACAAAAAGGCCTTTCCAACTCCTTCCAAATTAGAAGATCCAGGTGGTTACACACGGCACCTCTGTACAAATTCTCTCACTTTTCATTGCCTCTCCAGGGCCGGATAAGGGATGGGCACTGGGATTGATCTAAGATTAGAGGCTCGCCCGCCCTCCAGCCAGCATGGGTCCCCCCCTCGGAGACACGCAGGAGCCTTTTAAATCCCCCCAATGTAAAGTCTAGGAAGCGCTGAGACGGCCTGCGCCTGCACTTTAAGCTGGGACATTTCTGGGCCTGCTGGACGCTGTCTAGGCACTGCCCGTGCTCGGGGATGCCAGACGGACGACCCTCCTGGGATGGGAAGACCTGCAGACCCTCTGGGACCGGGCGACAGCCACGTGTGGAGCTGGATGGGCCAAAAGACGCTTTGCTGCTGCCTGCGGAAGCCGCTGCAGCGCCTGCCGCTAGCGCTCCGCTCCTTCCTCCCTCCTGCACCTCTGCAGCCTGCATGGACTCCTGCTCCTCCTCCTCTTCCTCCTCGCAGCCGAGCAGCCATCTGTGTCTCTTTAGTTTTCTTCTCTTTCGATCTCTTTGTTTGGTTCTGGGCCCAAAAGCCGGTGAATCGGTGTCCCAGGCGCGCGGGGCTTGTGTCCCTTTCTGATCCAAAGCACATGGGGCGCTCCCGGACTGAGGGGGTGTGTAGGACGCTCCAGAGAGACGCTGCCGCTGCCTCCTGCCATTGTTGTGACTCTGAATGTATTGGTTGTGCTCCATGCCGTGTATGACTTGGTATTTCCCTCTGTCCTAAGCACTTTGAATGAGTTCTGCTCAACAGACTGTAAATTTCATATTGTATTTATTGGAGTTTGCTCTCCCCGCGGCCCTCGGGCGCCGGCGGGTCCCGCTCTCGCCGCTCTAGACGTGTGGTAGATATTTATTGTCCATGCTCTTTTGTAAGGGGCTGGTATCTCCGCCCGGTGACCTGTGCTACTTTGTATGGTGCAAGTGTGTTACCAGAATAAATCTGTTGGATTAGTAGAGGTGTGAGTTCCTTCACTGCCTGAGCCTCTCCTGCTTCCATCCATTCTCCACCTGCATCCCATGCCATTTGTGTCTGTCTCCAT